TCAGACTGGGAGGAGATGGAGCCACCTGCTAAAACAGCATGAAACTGCCCTATTTATTTTGTTGGTATTGCAAAAGCATCACTTCGATGGGGCAATTAGGAACAAACTGAAAAATAAAATCCCTTTAGTAATTGCATCCAAATACCCCCAGATGCTGAAAGCAAAGCCTTTAAACCATCCACACCCCAGGAAGCTATGAGCTTTGTTAAAAATAGGAGGTTAGTTTGAAATGAGATTTTTACTAGTCAGTCTGGCCCCACTTAGGGAAACCCTTTCTTCTGAGGCTGTTCAGAAGAGCTGTCAGAATCTCAGTTGCTGGCATCCTCAGGAAATTCATGGTCTTAAATGCGTATGTTCTGCTTTTTATAAAGCAGCACCACCACACTGGGGAAGTTGGATTCCCTCCAGCAGTTGTGTGCATGACTTAAAAAAGAGAGCATAAGGGAGAAAAAAAAGTGCCCTGTGTTATGAAAAAGATTAATTTCCCCTTTCTTTAATCCTTCATATTCAGCATTTATTTGCATTGAAATGCCTCCACTCATTATGCATTGATGTTCACTCAACTGTGAACCCTGCTTGTTGCATAGCTCTGGGCACTGCCTTTGCAGGACCTGATCACTCTGGATTCCCAGGGAAAACCCACCCGATTCTTGTTCTGGTGATGCAAACATGCAGTATATTCTTTCTTTTCCTGTTCAACCTCTGTACAGAAAGTGGAAAGGACAGCTAATGACACTTCTTTAGGGAAAAAATTCCCTGCCCTCCTACAGACCCTAGCACTGTTAATGAAGCCACATTGGATTCATTATGCAATTAATAGTTTACCAAGCAGTAAGTAGCACCTTGAATTCTGAGCTGGAATTGCCTGGTTTTCTTAATACCAAAATAAAACTGAAAGGCAAGAGGTAAAGAACCTATGGATGACAGGGGTGGAGGGGCGGGGTGTTTATCTACTTTTTTATTTGAATGATAGCCTGAGCACAAGAAGAGTCTGGATTGATTTTCCACCTGGATAAATTGTGTGTGTGGTTAAAGAAAAAACATCATGAGCTGCAAGAGTTCAGGTTATGAAGCCATTTTGTGTGCCGTGATAAGAAAGTTTACAAGAACCTTACAAGTTTATAAGAACTCACCTCAACATCCAAAATATGCAGCTGGAACCACATGAGAAAATGGCAGAGTAACTTGGAAACTTCTTTTCATGGTTAGACTGTGAAAGCCTGTCTTTATTTAGTTCATGTGGTAGTGGTATAAGGTCTCTCTTTTATTTGCAGAGACACCAGGCTGCAAAGGGGGAAGTATGGGAGAGACTTGAGGGTAGATGGTCCTCCATTGCTCAGTGATAAATAACATAATTTAAAGCTTATTGAAAATTCATAGCAGCCTGAGTACAGACTCACCCAGGAATAGCCAGCCTCTCAGTGCTTTACACTTTGCACTGACCCTGGAACTGTAGGACAGCTTGGCCTGGGGGAAGTCTTCATGTTTCTGAGCTGGTTTTCTTTTGCAGCCTCATTATCCGCGCCCCCTTTTGGTTAGTTGGGTTCAGTAGGTCCCAGTTGGTATAGTACTTAAAAGATTCAGCGTTTTTATTTTTGTTTTTTCAGGCAGGACCCAGTCTCAATTAAATAAGATCAGTGTAGGATATATATAAAACCGGAGACTTTTTCTATCAGGATTTAGGAGGCTTTGGCCTTGCAGTCAGATGTTTGGAATGGGGTGAGGGTTTTTTTTTGAGGGGCCGGGGGTGCTAATAGCTAATGTGAAGAAAGAGAACTATGTGTCCCCTCTTTTCTTTTTAAGCTGTAAGTTTACAGAAGCCAATTTTTTCCTAGGGAATAGGTTATGAAAAATTTAGACTTCAAGATTACTTTTACAAATAATTACAAAGTTAGGGCTTTTAAGAGTTATAACCCCAAATCTCTTTCCATTTTAAGTACTGTATTACTAAAGCCTATTTATATGGAGTTCATTTACTTGGGTAAAAAACTTCTTAATGCCTTTGTTGGAGCTCCTAGCCAAGATTGACACAGTATGGGTTTTTTCCTTTTGCCTAGCTAGAAAAGACCAGTAAAAAAAGCAAAAAATCTATTAAAGTAGAGAAATCAGCTAACTTCAGTTTATTAGGCCTGGGGGAGGAAAGAAAGTCCTGTGATGAGAAGGATGTTTTCTCCTTGAGGTTTGAATAGCGAGTACATAGCTGCTGTTCTCAGCTTCTGTGAATGTGTTTGGATGGAGGTGACCCATATCACAGGCTCTAGCAGCAAACAAGGGATCAAGCATTTGGAGGGCTTTTCTACTTCTCTCATAGGAAGAAGAAAGAACATAGTCACAGTACCATCCTCTGATACAAAGTAACTTGTGTAAACGTCCATTTGTATGTGTACACATAATATGGGTTAATTCATGGTCTGAAACTTGGTAAACATCAGATTTCAGATTTTTGTCATGACAGTGGGTGGTCCAGAAAGAAAACCTTGCTAAGTGTTGTACCCTAACTTGGAGTCGGTTAAATAGGGCCAGGGAAAGGGAGCCAGAACCTGGACTAAGTATCCATAGAGAGGTGTGTCATAGGAAAAGAGTGACATGTTAGGAAAAGGGATAAAAAATGTCAAAACAGAAGATTTGAGAAGAGTCTAGAGCTGTACTAATAAATACTGTAGACACTAGTCACTTGTGATTATTTAAATGAAATTAAGAATTCAGTTCTTCAGTTACCTTAACCATATTTCAAGTTCTCAAATAGCCACATGTGGCTAGTGACTTTTGAATTAGTGCAAATATGGACCATTTCCAACATTGCAAAAAGTTCTGTTGAACAGGGCTTGTTGGGAGCAGGGGTCTACATACGTTTTCTGTAAAGGGCAAGGTAGCAAATATTTCAGGCTTTACAGGCCATACAATCTGTTACTATTCAACTCCACTGACATAATGCAAACACATCCAAGAAAACAAGTGAATAAGCATGGCTATGAGCTAATGAAACTTCATTTATGGACACTGAAATTTGAATTTTATATAAGTTTCATATCACAAAACTTTTTCTTCTGTTTACTTTTCAGCCATTTAAAAATGTAAAAAACGTTCTTAGTTCATAGGACATACCAAAACAGGTGGTGAGCCTGATTTGACCTATGGGCCATAATTTGTCAGCCCCTCTCTAGAAGAATAGGAAGTCAAAGCTTAAGATTCTTTTACTACACAGGACATCAATCACTGGAAAATTTTTAGTGGTTCCTCCAGACTTGAGAACTTTATCTGGCTAAAAATTGGGGTTCCCTGTAGGAGTGTCTTTCCTTTGTTTCCTAATGTTGCAGTCCAGTCTCTAATAGAGTCATGTTCTTCAGTGATGGCTATTCAAGTGTTAACTTTTAATTGTCATATAAGTCTAAAACAGTAAACCCTACTCTTTCTCTACCTGCTAAAGAGATGAATCATCACTGGTAATATCACCTACTACAGATTGGAAGTTTACTGTCACCTGAGATCAGTTCTGTCCTTGTACTGTCCTAAGCAAGCTGAATATTGGTGGACCAAAGGGAGATTACCATCCTAGGCCAGAAGGCCAGACAGCCTTAGTAACCATCTTTAGTCATCACCCCCACCCCCACACACATACAGACGCACCTTTGTGTGTAGAGATGGAGAGTTAAGGGATTTTACAACCTGGCTGTATCCTCAAGTCACACACTATATTGCCTGGCACTGTTGAAAGATGCCTCAGGATAAACAAAGAAAGGAAAGATAAAAACTGCAGTTGAGCCCTGGCAGGGTTGCTCAGTTGGTTAGAGCATTGTCCCCAAATCTCAAGGTTATGAGTTTGATCCCTGGTCAGGGCACATATTAAGAACCAACCAAGAGAAGCATACATAAGTGGAACAACAAATCAATATTTTCGTCTCTAAAATCAACTTTAAAAAAATTTACAATAAAAACCTGCCGAGTTGACTAAGTTGATCAAGGACACAGGAAGGGACATAACAGTCTAAAAGGTGGGGTGCCTAAGAAATTTCTCTTTCCTATGAAAGGAGGTAGAAGTTTTAGGAAAGGAGGTCCTGAAGAGTATGTTTCACAAGTGAGAGGTGGCGGGTAGGAGGGTTAGCTTAAACAAACGTGGACTGAATGCCTACTGTGTTCTAGATAGTGTGTTGTGCAGTTGGAGATGAATGGCAGGTAAAGGTAAAAGTTACAATCGTTAGGATGGTGGGTTGGAAAAGGACAGAGTAAGACTTTTATATAGTAAAAAAGTAGTAAGATTTGATGACGGGATGGTGAGGAGAAAAGTGAGAGAGGATTAGAAATGGTACTTTTAAAAGGAAAACAAATGGTAATCAGAAAAAAGGAAACCGGAGGACAAAGGATAAAAAAGTAGGGGGTTTATATTTTGCTGAACCAAGGGATAAAATGGATGAAACCATCATGAGCTGTGCTTGCTCTTCGCTTTGTGGATGTTAACGTTCAGGCTCTAGCCCTTTCCCCACAGATGAAGGACACAGACAGAATTGGTGTCTCCTGAATTTAAGTTACCATACTTCCCCCCCAGAGACCTCTCTGCGAGGAAGTCTGGTCCAGTGAGAGTTCTTTCCACGAGGAGAGAGCGTTAGGTTCGAGCTTCCAATCCAGGTTTCTTCGAGTTTATCTCTGTTTTAACCGGCTCGCCGGGTTTTCCAGCATTCCCAGAGCAGACTCTAATCCTGGCTCCTTGTGACCGCGCATTCCGAGACCCAGGATTTGGCTCCTCCATCCAGGTTCCGGGTTTCCCCTGCGCTCCCCCGCTCCAGACTCCACACCAGCCTGGAATCCGGATCCGAGGGCCCGGTAGTCCAGTGTCCGGGCCTTCCGGGCGGCCCTGGTTGTCCCGGATCGCGGCAGCGGCGGCGGTGGCGGCGGCTGAGGGACCCGCGGCCCCGGACACAGCGGCACCGGCCGGGCGGGGCGGAGTGTCGCGGGGAGGGGCGGAGAGCCGGAGCGGAGGCGGGGTGGGGTGGGGGGGAGGGGCCGCGGGAACGGATGGCGGCCTGGGCCCGGTAGCAGCGGCGGCTCTACGGCCCGGGGCTCCGGGCCAGCGGAGGTGGCGGCTCCCGGGACCGGCCGCGCGGTGAGTCTGGAGCTTTGTGTGGAGCTGGGGCTGGGGGAGGAGAGAGGCGGCGGCGCTGAGGGGGGCCGGGGGCAGCGGCTCATGACGGAGGAAGTGGGGGTTGGGGGACCGGGGCGGAGCGTGGGGGAAGGTGTGTATGGGGGCTAGGAGGGGGGTCGTTGCGTGGGTGGGGGAGGGGGCGTCTAGGGACACGGGGTGAAGTTCAAAGCATGGCTGGGGCCGATTCAGGGTGAGGGTAGGGGCACCCTGGAGGGAACTAGGGTCTGGCCAGGTTGTAGGGACAGGCCAGAGAGTTTGAGGCCAGTCTGGTTATCTTGAGGGGGCCCATGGAGACTAGGGCTAGTCAGGGAGTTAGGGGGGCTCAGAGCTAAGGATTGGGAGCAGGACGTGTGCGTGGCCCAGGATGGGGGAACAAGGTAGCTGGGAGTGTGCAGTAAGTAGGTTGTGGGTGTGTGCTCCTTCTAATCTTCAGGTCATATTTACCCCTGCCCTTCAAGATGGAGGGATTCTTGGGCCTGGCCCTTAATGCTCTCCTCGTACCCCCGCCCCCCCGGGAGGGTTTGTGACCCTGTCCTGTTTGGAAAAACCATGCTGCCCTCTTTTCCCTTTATGTGTAATTACGGTTGGATCATCTCTGTGCTTTGCTCAGATTCTCCTTCCTCCCTCTGGGGTTGAGGAGGAGGAGACACATCTGACCAATTAATGTGTGTTTGTGAAACAGGCAGCAGCAAACAGTCATTTCAGCTTCTAGGAATTAGGCTCACACAGGGTGGAGAGATCAGAGCCCTTCAGGGAGAATATTTCTGAACAAATCACAGATGATTGAATTCTCCAAGAAACAGCTTCCTACCTAAATGAGAGTAGGGAAGATGGGGGAAAAAGCCTGTCTGTTTCCAGCCATGTGTCCAGAGCCCCAGGGGTTGAGTAGAGTCCCCAGTCCCCCACAGGCCTCTCTCTTTTCTGTATTAGGCTTTGCTCTGCAGCCTTGAGTTAATTTCACCCCTGCTGCTTTGTCTTGGGGGAGGGAGTGCTGGTTTAGGCCGTTGTGAGGAGATGACTGTTCTGCTGCCACACACAATAGTCGTGTCATTTTATCGGGAGTGCTACCCCAGGGCTGAGAACTGCTGCTGCAGAGATAAACCGGTCCCTCTCACCCGCCTATTGTGTACACAGTGAAGGTCATAGGTTCAAGTCTTGTCTGAGAGCTTTGGATATGCTCCATCTCCCAGGCTTCTCAGTGCCATTTTCTTCCTTTTCCAGACTGGAGCTTGCCATTGGAGGAGGCCAGACAGAAAGGCTCTTCTTTTTGAGTGAGGAACAATGCAGAGCTCATTGGCACACATTTTTCAGAAGAATAGGGGATGCCAGCCATGTCGTGCCTGCCTCTTTAGCTAGCCTGTACTAAGTTGTGAAGGAATAGTGTCCGGGAGACTCAACCCTGGTGTTTATGTCAGACCTCCAAGGGAAGGTTTCTGCTCTTGTTTGAACCATCATATTTAATTCTTTTTATAGAGATGGGACATTCATACATGGCTTTTGTGTATTTGTTTAGGAATACCACTAAAAACCTGTGCAGGGTTAATATAGGGAGTCAAGGACCCAGTACCTTTTTAGGGATGACTTCCTGGTCAGTAGTAATTGCACAAGAAAAAAGCCACAGAATTTGCCTATCTGGTCAAGGGCTGTAGAAACAAAACAGCTTTCCTTTTAATCTTTATTTTAATTCTGATGAAAGGAGGTGATTTGCTTATTGTGCAGAAAGTCCATATCTGCCTCTTTATTACGGAGAAATATGCCAAAGAGATGGACATTTTTAAAAAAAATCATTTGAGAGCTTGGAAGTTATTAGTGAGTGAAAGATGAGAACAAGCTAGAAGGAATCCTATCCTTGTATATGTCTCAGAAATTTCCAAAATACTATTAGGTAAAAAAAAATTTGATGCTAGAAACGAGGTTTTAATTTAAGACATTAAAGAAAACTTTTATTAATAAAGAGATAGGAATGTTGTGAGAGCAGTTGTGCACAATGGCCAACCATTTCATATAGGGTATCATTGAATAGAAACTTTACCTTTGGTTTTGGTAAAGGTCTTTCTGAGGTGCTGAATCTGACTATGTTGCCTTCTTCCTTACTTTATTTCAATGAGTCTTTCAAAGTGATGGCTTGCCAATTAGGTGTTGGGCTCTGTTAGGGAGAAGTTGTTCTGACTTTTGTATTTCCTAATGACAGAACTATCTTAAGGTCTTACTAGAGGTGTTGTCTGTCTTTAGGCTACTTCCAACTAGCATATGTGGTGGGTCTCTGAGTGAAGCCTCAGCTAAACTGAGTTCAAAGCTTTTTGCTCTTGGGCAGTTAGCATTTATATCTGAATACTGTTAGGTGACAGGGAAGGCAGAAGCCTCAGATTAATTTGCCCTGATTAGATATAGTGGTTTCAAATTTGGGCCCTTGCCACAAGGAGCCTCATGAGTCTTCTGATTGTGACTATCCTTCAGACAGCAGTTTGGATTCCACCACTCCCCACCCCAGTATCTTGGTAGAAAATGTTTCCTTGTGAGAGGTCTAGATAGCTGGACAGATTTGTGCTTTTTTTGTGTGAGGATATGGAAGCATAATTTTGGCTCCTGGTAGTAATTATGTTGCAATTAGCATATAGCAACTAAATGACTGGAACAGGATAATTTGTTGAGGGGTTTGCTGATTGCTCTGTCAAGTGGAAGTGCCACTCCTTATTTATTTGACTGGGAACTCCACTGCCTGGGCTCAGCCGTGGAGATTTACAAAGGATAGAGGTGATGTGTGGTGTCCAGAAGTTCTTGCCTGCTCCCTCTCTCCTATTACTGCCACTTTCTCCATCTGGAAAGGTGGTAGCTAAAGAATTGTGGAAAACTGGTCATGGGTGGGAATACTGCCAGACAAATGGGGTCACTCTGAGATAAGGCACCCTTATGTTATGTGGCAAGTTTTCTCTTCAGCAGCTCAATTCTCACTTCTACTTGAATTTTTTAGATTTTATTTTTTAAAAAGATTTTATTTATTTTTAGAGAGAGGGGGAGGGAAGGAGAAAGAGAGGGAGAGAAACATCAATGTGTAATTGCCTCTTGCACACCCCCCACTGGAGACCTGGCCCGCAACCCAGGCATGTGCCCCGACTGGGGATCGAACTAGTGACCCTTTGGTTTGCAGGCTGGCGCACAATCCATTGAACCACATAAGCCAGGGCTAAAAAGATTTTATTTATTTACTTTTAGAGTGAGGGTAAGGGAAGGAGAAAGAGAGGGAGAGAAACACCAGTGTACAAGAGATAAATCGATCAGTTGCCTCTCAAATGCCCCCAACTGGGGACCTGGCCCGCAAGCCAAGCATGTGCCCTGAATGGGAATCAAACCAGTGACCTTTCAGTTTGCAGGCCGGCGCTCAATCCACTCAGCCCCACCAGCCACAGCACTTCTACTTGATTTAAAAAATCCAGTTTTCTTTAAAAAACAAAGAAAAGAACAACAACAAAACCCCACAAAATAAAAAAATTACATAGTATGCTAAATATGCCTTCATGTCATCTCGTAAAAGTTGGCTGTTACAGACAAAATGAAGATAGGTGATGGCTGATTGGCAGATTCTGGGCCCCCTAAGTGTCAGTGAAGGACTCTTTTCACTAGGGAACAGGTAATTCACCAAAGCACCTGCCTAGCTGGGCATGTGAAATTGGCAGCAGCTGTGCAGCTGAAGAGGGATTATTGAGCAGGTGGTTAAAGAATCACATGCCACAGTGACAAGAAAATACTTGGTCTTTCGTGGTTTAGGTTCAGTTCATATGTGTGAAATTGCTCTTTGTTTCACATTTCTTAATGCCTGATACTGGTTTGTTAGTGAGATGATAATAGAATAGAGAAAAGAGATTTCTTTTTTTCTTTGTTTCTTTTAGATTACTCAATAGCTTGCCTTAGACGTGGTCCTATATAGCCCTATTGTATTTCTGTGAGTTCTGGCTTTATGCCCTATGAATGGGAAGGAAATAGTGGTAATTCAATGTTTCTAGTACTTGTTTATTAGAGGGAAATGGGAAGGAGAAAATTCTTTGCTTTCAGTGTGGTGAAAAAGATTTAGCACACTGGAAGGATACCCATCAGGTTTTAGGCAAAGGAGGTAATTGACTTTTTGTGCTAGTTCTGTCTGACATGCCTTACTCAAGAAATATGCATGTGTTTTTACTTTATGAATATAATTCTCTACATGAAATTTGCATCTCTTCAGTTTGTTTTATTTCATTTTTAGTTTCTCCCAACACCTTTATAACTCTTTTCTTTGGCATTGTGATTAACATCACTGTTAGAATCGAATCACCAGAGGGCCGAATCACGTTGAGGAAATATCTCCACTAAGTATTTATCTTTAAAACAAGTGTAGAATTTTCTGTAACTTGGAAGACTTTCTATTTTGATGTTTTCTGCAAATTCCCAGGTTTTTCTTAAAGGTTATCATCTTCTGTTAATACGATTTTCTTTCACATGGTCATACCGCTTATAGTAGGCAGTGCCAGAGCCTAAATTTTATAAGCAAGTAACTTGGTGTTTATTTTCTGACTTTTAGTGCCTTCCAGTCATTTTCTGTATTAGGCCGACAGGTTGTGTTTCTGTTGAAGCGTACACCCACACACACGCACACCTATATATACTGAGTTCATGGGGTATTGATTTACCATTGATTGAAGGAAAAAAGTCATATTAACTGTTGTAGAGTTCAGAAGTCCCGTTTCCAAGTGGAGTGAAGGCTCTTACCTGTATGTCAGAGAGACGGAGATATAGATGGGTAGGTAGGTGGGTGGGTAGGTAGGTAGGTAGATGTGGCGGGAAGGGAGGCAAATGATGTGACTCTGAGGCCAGGACCAGGGACCACTGTAGAGACAGGAACATTTGGAAGAATCTGCTTAAACCTAGTTTGTAATCTAGCTTTAAGTGGGAGCCCAGCCATTTTTTGTTTAGTATTTACTTCTGGGAAA